CTAATTACTAGGCACTTTACGTCTTAGTCTGTAGAACCCAGACAGTCATCAGTGAGTTTGACATTATCCCCATGTCACAGATGAGTCCAGTGAGGCTCTAAAAGCACAGCTGGGAAGTGGCACCTGTGTACTCTGAATCCAAGTCTTGCTTTTGTCCTTTTCTACTGCATTGCTTTACCTCTCCTAAACAACTATCACATGCGCATGCCCTCGTAAGGATGTGCAGATGTAGCCAGTATTTACTGGATGTCAGATATGTGCTCGGGGCTTTTACAGAGGATCTCTTCATTGCTCCGAACCAGGACCCTGTGAGGCAAGTAATTTTAACCCTATTTTATAGAGGGAGAAAACAGAAACCCAGTGATGTTAAGTGACTTGCCCAGAACACCAGCTGAGGATTGAATGAGTTGGTGGGATTTGAACCCAGAGCTTTCGGTCCTTCTGTCTAGTGCCTTTTTACCCAGTATCACAAATGTGAAGATTCTGGTCAACAGTACTGGTGTCATTTAGGGGGCCTCTGACTGTGTGTCAGGGCTAAGCACTGCGCATGCCTTCTCTCATATGCTCTCTACAACCACCTTAGGGATAATGAGGATAATGGCATAATTATCACTCTCACAGTACAGATGAAGAAACTGAGGCTTAACGAAGTTATGTGACATGTCCAAAAATAAAGTGACAGGGCAACAAAGAACCCACAGGGCCTGACTCCAAGGACCAAGTGTCATTCACTGTTATGTAACTTCTTATTTTGACCTGAAAGTATATCAGATTTCTTTGGTAGGCACTGGCCACTAACCTTGACTCAGAATATTTTGCTGATAATCTGAATGCATGATCAGGAGGCCTGAATGCAACAGAGAACCAGTGACGGTTGAAGAGATGGGCACCTGGCTAAGTTAAGTGGAACCCACCCACTTGCACAGATTACAGCACCTGAGCTTCAGGTAGCTCATGGGAGGGGCCAGGTGCAGTCATACCGCCTGCAGGGGAGCAGATCAATCTAGACCATCATTTAGCGCTGATATGGAGGATTCAATTTTCTTTTTACTATAAATGCCATGGAGAAGGAAACACACGTGTGAAGAGGGGCTTGTGTGGTGAGGTGACTTCCTGGTGTGGCTGCTTAGTGATGGGGAGCCTGGGTGTCCAAACTGCAATCTGGGTGAGAAACCAAAGGGACTTGAGAATTTTAGGGGTGACTCTGGGACACTGGTTGGGTGTCCCTATGGAGCCACACAGGATGCCAGATTTGAGCTAGAAGGGCTGGCTACATCCCCTGGTTTCCCCAAGGCCCTCTGTGATCCAGCCCCTGCCTACCTGGCCATGTGGATTTGATCTCCTCTTTCTCCCTCCTACACCCTAAGCCCTAACCACACCTCACTATTTGTTCCCCATGGGGCCCGAAGTCCTCTCTGTCCTGTGAACATGCTGCATGCTCTTCCTCGGGGAGCCCTCCTGCTCTCCTTCTGTGCCTTCCACTCTCAGTCTGCCAAGCTTCCAACTCAACTCAGGTGCTGCCTCCCCTTGGACACATTCCCTGCCTCTTCCTCTCTCCACCTCCTTGGGCTCTCGTTGCATCACTGGACCTACATGACACTCAGAACTCATCCTACTGTAGACCTGTGTACCTGGCAGTGGCAGGCAGAGTTCTGAGCCCCTACCCCACCCAGATTCCCGCCCCGCTGGTGGACATGCCATGTGTAATCCCCATCTTGGGTGTGGGCAGGGCTTGAGAATATCATATTGTAATCATGTTATGTTATAAAAGACTCTGGTATCATGGGCCAGAGAGAGGTTCTCCTGCTAGCCTTGAAGAAGTGGGCTGCCCTGCAGGGAGAGGGCTGCACTGTAGGAACTGGGAGTGGCTTCAAGGAGCTGAGGGGGATGCCAGTCAACAGCCAGCAAAGAAACGGGACCTCCATCCTGAACTGAACTGTTCTCCAACCCAAATGATCTTGGAAGTGGATGCCAATCCCCAGATGGCATCCTAGCATTGGATAATACCTTGAGATTTCAGTCCTGAGACCCTGGGCAGACGGCCCTGCTAACATCTTACCTTAGGTGACAAATACGTACTTTTTTTTTTTAACTGTGTGGCTCCTGGAGTGCAGTGGCACGATCTTCAGCTCACTGCAACCTCTGCCTCCCAGATTCAAGCAATTCTCCTGCCTCAGCCTCCTCAGTAGCTGGGACTACAAGGCATGCGTCACCACACCCAGCTAATTTTTTTATTTTTTAGTAGAGACAGGGTTTTACCATGTTGGCCAGGATAATCTCAATCTCTTGACCTAGTGATCCGCCTGCCTCGGCCTCCATAAGTGCTGGAATTAACAAACTTGTACTTTTTTAAGGCTGTTCATTGTGTGGTGCTTTGTTGCCTAATAACAGGAAGATATGCGGATTCCTTTCGCTGTGGCTCCCGCCACAGGCAAGCAAAGGACCACAGGCATAATTCAGTGGCTTCAGGGGATGGTGGTCTGTTGGGGATTCATAGGCTCCAAAAGAACTTGGAGAAAGGCCACTGGTTCTCCAGTGCACAGAGAACGTAGGAATCTGGGGGGCGCTTACAGAACTCTGCCTGCCACTGACAGGTAAACAGGTCTACAGAAGGATGATGCATTCTGAGTGCCATGCAGGAGGTTCACCAATGCTACAGGAGCCCAGGAAGGTGGAGAAAGGACGAGGCAGGGAATGTGTCCGAGGAGAGATGGCCCCTGAGTTGGAGGCTTGGTAGACTGAGAGTAGAAGGCACGGAAGGATATAAGACAGGGACAGGTCTTTTAAACCGTATCCCCCTCCCTTGAAGTGCCTAGTACAGAACGCTGTGCATTATTTGCTGAGTGACCACGTGGATGTGGAGATGAGAAAACTGTGGCCACAAGAAGGGACAGGCCTTGCTAGAGCCCTCACAGCAAGTCAAGCATGGAGCTGGTGCCAGAACCACCATACTTATCCCTTGCTCTTTTGTCTCATGTTGTGTTTACCTGTCACCTGCTAGGATCTCCATGTTCTCTGTGCCCTGGAGTTCCAGTGGCCTTTCTCCAGGTTCTTTTGGAGACCACCAGCCCCTAAAGCCACTTAATTATGCATGAGGTAATTCGCTTGCATGTGGCAAGACTCACAGAGAAGGAATCCACTTCCCTGAGCCACCCTCAACATGAATCATCCCAGGTTGCCTCCAACGCAAGGTTCCTCACTTCCTGGAGCTCACAGGTGACTTTATGAAAACGATTTTGTGTCTCGGCGTCTGTGCCTTCATCTATCTGTCCATTCTTCAATCATTCATGACTCATGACACTTGGCATTTGTGGAACGCTCATCATGCGCCAGGCACTGTCATCAGCACCGTACAGGCATTAGCTCTTTTACTCCTCAGGACAGTCCCATGGAATCCCATCTGTAGGCTGGATAGGCATCTCTGAGGTGGCTCAAAAGGCAGAATGAGGAATCAAACTTCCTTTCTGATCACAGGAGCTGCGAGGGTATGACACGAGAGGGAGCTGGGGCAAGGGCAGCCACCATGGGCCATGTGTAAATTGCAGTGGAAGCCACTCAGACAAGGCGGGAAGGGGCACCTGCCATGGTCAGGTATAGAAAAGCCATGTAACACTGGCTGAGTGACCTTCGGGCTTCAAATCCATTCACTTCTTGGCAGCCAGAGATGTTTTTAAAAATATATAAATTAGATCATCTAACTGCATACATTTATTCAATAACTCCCTGCCACACTTAAGAGTATCTCATGAGCATCTAAGCTCCTCCCATCTTTCTCATGCCACTTTCCTCCCAAGCCCTTATGATGCCGCAGCCACCTCAGTCTTCTGTGAGGTGTCTGATGTGCAGGCATTCTTCCCACCAAGGGCCCTTTGCACCTGCTATTGCATCTGCCTGGAACACTCTTCTCTCAACAACTTGCACACCTGACCCTTTCTCCTTGTCCTCCAGGTCTCTGTAGAAATGTCCTTTCCCCAGAGAGCCTTCTCCTGACCACACTACCTAAAGAAGGTTCCAAACCTGGCACCGGGATTATCCTCCCAGTTCCTTCAGAGCACTTATGCAATTACAGTCATTCTTAAAAACTGTTTTTTGCTGTTTATGTCACTAGCTCCATATTCTCAGCCCTGGCTACACATTACAAGCTTAAAACAATGCCGGCCTGGCACGGTGACTTACGCCTGTAATCTTAGCACTTTGGGAGGCTGAGGTGGGTGGACTGTCTGAGCTTAGGAGTTTGAGACCAGCCTGGGGAACAGGGTGAAACCCATTCTCTACTAAAATACAAAAAATTAGCCAGGCACGGAGGTGCATGCCTGTAATCCCAGCTACTCAGAAATTTCAGGCAAAAGAATTACTTGAACCCCGGAGGCAGAGGCTGCACTGAGATGAGATCGTGCCACTGCACTCCAGCCTGCGTGACAGAGCAAGACTCCATCCCCCGCCCCACTCCCCCCACCAAAAATAAAAACAAATGCCAAGGGCTCTATTCTACAAAGATCCTTACTTAACTGGTCTGCACAGCAGCCTGGACATGAAGATGTTATACAACTCCTGAGGATATTCAATCTCCCCGGACAAGGTTGGGAAGGTTGGGAAGCAGCGCATTGGCTTGTAGGCTACATCAGGGCGGAGCTCATGTCAGTACTGCCCGGAAATGCTTGACGGATGTTCGTTTCATCAACACACAAAGAAGGAAAACAAGCAGCCATTCCCCCTTTTCCTGAGGTAATTCCAGTAGGGCTCTACTTAAGAATCGATCCTTTCATCTATCCTCAGACAACAAGACAAGAGCCCTTGGTTTTCAGCGCTGGAGGAGGGGATGGGACATAATCTCACCCTTATCAGGCTTCTATATTCTAAATCCAAGAGCCATCTCTTCCTTCTCCATCCTCTAATCTTAGCATATCTGCTACAAAGTGAGCACACCCTTCACCATTGTCTATCCTCCACGCAGAGAGCTGCAGTGTGGAGGCCGGGGTGGGTGAGGCCATCTGCCGTACCTGTCCATGGACAGCTGAGCGACCAGGGTGACGTCCGTGCTGTCTGCCGCAGGCTCATACTCGTAGTGCAGGAAGTAGAGGTGGGTGCGGTGGACAGTGAAGCGCTCTCGCCGGAACTCATAGCACAGGTCGTCCTCATCCAGCTCAGACAGCTGCTTCTGGAGCTGCAGGGTACGAGAGAGGTCATGGGCACGTGAAGAAGAGGGCTGAGGGGCCCATGAGCTGGCCCCTTGGGCCCTGCCCTCCTTGATGAGTTTCTTACCCATCAGGACGTTGTTGATGGGTCAGACATACCTGGATGGGATCATCACTTTTATTTCCCTCTGCAATGTAATCTAATTTTCAAAAGGTGATGGTAAAAATCAGATGCCTAGGGACCATGTGCCGTGGCTCACACCTGTAACGCCAGCATGTTGGGAGGCCGAGCCAAGCAGATTGCTTAAGCCCGGGAGTTCAAGACCAACCTGGGCAACAAGGCAAAACCCCGTTTCTACTGAAAACAGAAAAATGAGCTGGGCGTGGAGGTGTGCGGCTGTAGTGGTACTCAGGAGGCTGAGACAGGGGAATCATCCGTGTCCGGGATGTGGAGGTTGCAGTGAGCTGAAATGGCGCCACTGCATTCCAGCCCGGGCTACAGAACAAAACCCTGTTTTAAAACAAAACAAATAAAAACGAGATGCCTTTAGCACCCGAGAAACAAGTCCGCTCTTAGTTAAGAACAAACTCAGTGGTGCTCACTGAAAAACATATAACCAAACAGAAACTCCTTAGAAAAAATGAGTGTTTTCTTAGACAACTCAGCATAACAATTTCAAACAGCACAGGGAAATGACCCGGACATGTGGCTCATGCCACCCAGCACTTTGGGAGGCCAAGCCAGGCGGATCACCTGAGGCCAGGAGTTCGAGACAAGCCTGGCCAACATGGTGAAACCCCAACTCCACAAAAAATACAAAAATTAGGTGGGCAGGGTGGCAGGAGCCTGTAATCCCAGCTACTCAGGAGGCGGAGCCAAGAGAATCTCTTGAACCTGGGAGGTGGAGGTTGCAGTGAGCTGAGATTGCAACACTGTACTCCAGCCTGGATGACAGAGACTCTGTGAAAAACAACAACGACAAAAACAAGTAACACAGGAAAATGCCCAAAGAAGAAAACAGTCAAACTGCAAAGAACCTCCGTGTGCCTGATGCTTTTCTCCCCCTAGAGCCACTGGTTTCAACCTCTGTCCTAGGTCTCGGAAGAAAACCCACAACCAACACATCAACAAACAGCCGCTCTTTTCCTTTCATTTCACCTAAGTTGAATCAGAATCTTGGCATCCATACTTTTTTCTCTTCTCTTTTTTTGAGCTCTCTTAAAGTCTGACTTCATTGATCTGCTTGTAGAAGTCACTTAACTAGCCGTCCTGCTCTCTTCCTTCACCAACTTGTGAAAAGAGCAGGCACAGCTGCTGACAGGGAGCTAAGGAGTTAACGTTTCAGATGCACAGAGGCAGATACACAGACGTGTACATCTGCAGCTGCTATCGGACAGCTCTCATGCAAACCCTACCAGGCAGGTATGATGATGTATGTTTCATAGTTGAAGAACTGAAATTAAAAAATGACACAATTTAGCAAAAAGCTAATCCACAGTGACAAAAATTGGACCAGGGCATGTTGGGTGGGAGAGGGGCCTGGGAAGAGGCAGGAGAGGGTTGGGAGTGACAGAAACCCGCTCTGTCATGACTGGACTGAAGGGTACATGGGGTGCACTTTTGTGAGAATTCAACACACTGTGCACTTAGAACGGGAGGCCTCATAAATAGCAATCTGTATTTCCGTAAAAATCAACTTTTAAAACAATGATAATTTGCCAAAGGTCACAGGGCTGCTTCCAATTTTGTTTCTTTTTTTCTGTTAAACCAGCCGTGTCTATCACATGAGAGAATACAGATGAAAGTTTCCATGGCAAGGGTTACCAACCTAGCCAAATATCAGGAAACGTTTTTCTAAGGAGGTGTACTTTTTTTTTTTTTGAGACGGAGTTTCGCTCTTGTTACCCAGGAAATGTGTGAGTGCATTTGGAGTGCAGTGGTGCGATCTCGGCTCACTGTAACCTCTGCCTCTTGGGTTCAAGTGATTCTCCAGCCTAAGCCTCCCGAGTAGCTGAGATCACAGGCGCTCACCACCACGACTGGCTAATTTCTGTAGTTTTAGGAGACAGAGAGTTTCACCAAGTTTGCCAGGCTGATCTTAAACTCCTGACCTCAGGCAATCCACCCGCCTCAGCTTCCCAAAGTGCTGGGATTACAGGTGTGAGCCACCATGTCCAGCCAATAAATACTTTTTCTTGAAGGCTGGTTGTGAGCAATACATACTGATAGAGTGCTATTGGTATTTTGCGGGGGGCATTTTTTTATTATGGGGACCTGTCCTGCCTATTGAAGGGCAGTAAACCTCCCGAGCTCCTGTCCTGTCCATGAAATGCCTGTAGCATTCAGACAGCTCCGTGCAACTCCAAATGCACTCACACATTTCCAAGTGCAGCTTGGGAAACTGGCTGAGATCCAATGACCTGTGAAACCTTCTCAGCTATCTCTAAAATTTTTAACTGTTAAGAGGATGCAACTAGGAATATTCTCCTTTTCAAGTCAATTTGCTGTCCTTGCCTATTTGAAGATTCTCACCATGCCAACAGTTTAATAAGACAAGAAAGCTGAAATTCTCATTCCATCTAAGATCTATGAACTCACTGCTTCCTTCTGACCTGAAGGATTAAATCCTGATTTCCTTGTTGACAATTATGGACTGTTCTCTCTGACTCATCACCCTCAAGCACTCTGTGTCTGGGGAGCACAGAGTGCCCCCCATCAACGATCTCTGTGCTACCCAAACCTGCCTTTCCCTCACACCTCCGTGAGTTTGTTTGGTGCCATGCTCTTCCCTCTTGGCGATACCTTCCCTCACCTCACTCCACTCTCCTCCACCTAAAAAACCTTCCATTTACCTTTCAAGATTCAGCCCAGATGGCACCTAGTTCTGTGAGACCTCTGCTGATCCTGCTGGGTAGAAGGAATCCATTTCTTCTTGACGCTCCACGAGCGCTCAGTTCGTAAGTCCATTAAAGCATTTGTCAACTTGAACTGAAATTACTTAAGGGCAACTTTCCTGGTGAGACTGTGACACTTCACCATTGTCCCCAGCACAGTACCGAGCTGTGACAGGCGCACGATACCATGTGTCGGATGCTTGAAAAGTGTTTGCTGTATACAAAAAAACCCGTAATCCCTGTGAAGACCTATCCTTCCAATTTTCCCTTTGTGTCCTCTAATTATATGTGCAGAAAATGATCAATAAGCCCATTCTTCAGCCCATCATTTGCTTTGAAATTTTCATCCAAAGGTCTGTGATGGCTGAAAAGCTTTTGGAAAGCAGACAAGCATGTGCGGAGGTCCACGTGAGGTGCTGGGTACAGGTGATTTCCTTTCCTCCCCAGAGCCCCCCGTGAGTCACCTGCAGCCTCATCTGACAGTTAAGAAGGGTGAAGGCGTCAAACCTGGGCCTGTACCCCTCCACCACCATGCTGCTGCTTCAGGAAAGATGCGTGCTTGGTCTCATGTGAAGACGCAGATGCAGCACAGTGGCTAAGGCTACTGGTTCTAACCCACCCCTGCCTGGATGATCTCAGGTTAACTGGGTGAGTGACCTAACCTTTCTGAGCCTCAGAGTCCTCAGCTGTAAAATGAGGGTGACAATACTCACTACCCCAGAAGGTTATAGAAGAGTCGAAAAGATGCTGCATATACAGAAACAGAGGTGGAAGAAAAGATTCAACAGATGTCACTTATTATCATAGCTATTATCACAGGAAAGGGAGACAGCTGGGTCCCTGAAGACACATATGTGGACTGCCCTTTCTGTCCTCAAACCTCACCTGAAGGAGACTGATGGCAAGGGCCTGGTGGGCAGGAATATTTAATGAATATTAGTTCCCCTGGCCTTCTCCTTGGTGGCCTCAAATATGCCTATAAACCGTAATGTTGCCTCCCAGGAGAAAACGTAACCAAATGCTATGCTCCTAACCTCCCTCACCGATACTGCAAAAAAGCACAAGGAATTATCTCCCACCGGAGAATAAACATCTCCAGAATTCTGTGCAAGAGCAGGGTTGGCTTTTGTTTTTCTTTGGTTTTGGTCTCTGTTTTAATACGTTCAGAAGAATGAATGGCTTCCAGTTCCATGAAGAGGAGAGTGGAAATGTGTGTGGGTGTGAGTGTGGTAGGCAAATGTGTGTGGAGAAATGGGCCCTTTTTTGATGAGGCTTTAAACAAGTAGCTGGTCCTCACCGTGGGAGAAAAAGCATTAGTGAGCGGAGCATGAGAAACACATGTGTATGTGGGGCTTTCTCAACCCCTTTATTGATTGATTAGTTGATTGATTGAGATGGAGTCATGCTCTGTTGCCCAGGCTGGAGGGCAGTGGCATGAGCTCGGCTCACTGCAACCTTCACCTTGCCGGGTACAAGCGATTCTCCTGCCTCAGCCTCCTGAGTAGCTGGGATTACAGGCGCTCACCACCATGCCCAGCTAATTTTTGTGTTTTTAGTAGAGGCGGGGTCTCACCATGTTGGCCAGGTTGGTTATGCCCTACTGACCTCAGGTGATCCTCCTGCCTTGGCCTCCCAAAGCGCTGGGATTTCAGGCGTGAGCCACCGCGCCTGGCGTCTTCTCCCCTTCTATGCACACATAGGTCCATATCCTTGACTTGGGGGAAAAGACATTTCTAGGTAAACGGCTCCAGGAATCACTTTCCAAAGAGCATCCATATGGTGGGTTCCTAACAGCAGGAGCTGTATCCCCTTCATTTCTCAACCGGAACCTAAAATATCCAGGTTCCACATCCAATGTTAATGAAGATTTCCTGAGTGGTGGATTCACAGATGACTTTTATTGGCTTCTTTATACTTTTCTGTAGTTAATTAATTCCCTGCAATTTTCTCAAATGAGCTAATGCGTGTAAAGTGTTTTGTAAGCTCTTAAGTGCTACAGAAACCTAAGCAATGTGGTTATGATTATATCAGGTACCTTTTCGAATTCTAATCTAGGTTTGCTTATTGCTGACTGTGTGGCTGATGTTATCCATCTTGGATATTCAGCAAGCCTCTGCTGGATGTGCTGAGCCCC